CTATTTCAACTGCCCGAGTTTCTTTTAGTAGGCACATCCAGAAGAGTGCAGAGGTGAAACAAGTTTTAATGTATTTCATTTCACCCAGATAACTAAAATGTGATCATTTCAACATGTAATCAATATAAAAAACTTATTGTGATATTTCACAACTGTGGGGGTATCGTCTTAAAACCCAGGGGGGCACTTTACACAGAATTCAGACCAGCCACACTGGAAGTGCTCCAGGGTTACACGTGGCTTGTGGCTACTGTGCTGGACAGCACGGGTTCTCGGGTCAGATGTGATATGCAAAATGCAGCAGGGGCCGATGGTCCTTCACTTGCCAGCTACTCATCCGCTGCGTGGTGTGGGGATGGTTGCTTGCTCTTTCTAATACATCTGGGTGATGGGGCACTCTTGGTGAATGACAGCCCATTGTCAGGGTCTCATCCTCCAAAGCTGTGTGTGTCACTTTTTGCAGTCTCAGAAAAAGCCAGCTGTTCTTTACAGCTTCTTGCTAGAAACAATGGTCTATGTTAAAAATAGCTTGTCCAGGATCAGAATCGCTGCTTGCAACTTGGCAGGTGAGCAGATGGGTATCTCCTGGCTCAAGATGGACTTTGAAAGCCATCTGGTCCACCCTGGGACTCGGGGGAAGGTGGGTCATGGGAGGGAGGCATGTGGCAGAGCTGGGGTGGGAGCTCAGGTCTTGCACTGAGCCTTCTATCTCGCTTTGATTTCGGCTTCCTTCTTGCCAACCTGGGCTCAACAAAATCCTTCATCAGCATTCTCATAACATAAACCAAGTATCTTACAGGGAGGGCCACAGAACGATTTGCCTGCTGACCTCTTATTTGTGTGATGAGCATTTCTTTCGCTGTCGTTTCAGGAATTATTATGAAGCAGATGTCCACACATTATCTGAAAAAGCTGGACATCCCAGCATTGCGGAATTGTAAGTAGCGGAGAGTGTTATATCTCGAGTCCATGACTCACCAACTCACTAGGGGAGCTTAGAGAAACAGGTTCAAGGGAAGAGCCAGAGGACCCTTTGCTGTGGGGTTTTTTGGGGTGGGAGTGTAACCAGGCAAGAGAGAAATGCACCTGGGGAGGCCTTTCCAGAACAGCTATTCATCCCCGGGCTGTTTCTCCCATTCATAGCATCTTATAAAATGCTTTTGCCCTGATGTTGCTATCAGGTTCTGTGGGTGATTTCTGTCCCTGTGAGGGTGGTCCCGGAAGTCCCGAGAGCTGTGATGTGTGTGCAAAGAGCTCCACCTGCAGTCTTCCGGCTTCCCACGCAGGAGCTTCCCGGTCTGCCCTGCCCACCTTCCGCACCCTCACCTGCAATCGCTGCCCACGTGGTCCTGACTGGGAGGGGCCTAAGCCTTCCCTCTGTTCCCTCTCAGCCCTCCAGGAACTACAGCTGGACCCGGATCCTGAGGTCAGGCAGGCAGCCCTGGAGACGCTCAAAGTCCTGGATAGCTGTAGTCAGCACAGGCTCCTGGCTTCACCCGAGGAAATGTCCTAGGTGGTCCAAACGTAAGATGTAAACTGTCTCCTTAGTGCCAAATGCAAGCCCTTATCGATGTCGTTTGTAAGAAGTTTAGTTTGTAGGAAAAACATTGTGAAATTATTACTATCCTTTTCTTTCTTCCATTGAAATAAACCTCCACTACCACTGGAGTGCAGGCTTGACTGTAAGGTGGTGATAGCTCAGATCCAGGACAGTGCGGCACAGGGAACTTCAGCCTTAATGAGCCACTTCATTCCTGATTCACCCCGCCCCCACCAGTACATGTGTCTGACAGACCCTTGGCTCAAAGGGTCGGAAACTAGCTTTCCGTCTTCACTCGTAGTTCACCCCCAGTTCACAGGCTGACAGTGTACCTAAGGCCAGGCACTGTGCCAAGCAGCGAGGGGAGGCCTAGCGTGTCCAGTCTGCGTCCAGGGACCCTTCTTAAAGGGAAAGGCACCTGACCACAACACACATCAGAGGGAGGACTGCAGCCAGGGTGGAAGTGCTGCAGTGGCACAGGAGGGTGGGTGTGCATCAAGCATGGAGGCAATCCAGGGAGGCTGCATGGAGGAACTGACATTTATTCCAGGCCCACCCTCATCCTTCCCTTTGAGGCTTAAAGTTACCAAGTCTGGACTGTTGGAACTTAAGCCCAGTGAAGCCTGGAACATAATCCGGCTCCTGATCAAAAAGGAGAAATTAGCCCATGTCTAAGAACAAGTAGGGGAAGCAAGGGGAAGGGCGGAGAAGGCTTTTCCTATGCTTGGGCCATCAGAATAGTCTAGGTGTCCCCAGAGCAGGCAAACCAGGGCTTCCAAACCGTTCGCAGTACAACTGCCGAAGGAATTTACCATCAGGGGTGCCACAGGAGAGAGCTGCTATGCTGCCCTAGAACCCACCCATGCTAAAGCCTTCTCTGGAACAGTGGTCTTCAGACTGTTTTGTGCCTCCCATGGAGCAAATGGTGAAGGGATTTCCTGCCAAGTGATGAAGAGCATTGCTGCTAAACAAGCTTGAACACCACTGCTGCAGTGGGGAAGGCTCACCCCTCAACGCAGTACAAGGAGGCAGCTGTACCTCTGCACAACTGGCTCTGCCTTCATGCCTGTGCAGAAACTTTTCCAGATGGTTTTTAGACCTAAATGGAGAGAGCAAAATTGAAGACAGTACAGTATTTTTGATACTGAGAGTATGGTAGCTTTTTTCTTTTAAAAGTAACAGCAGAAGCCAGAAGAAGGAGGAAGTTGTCTGCCTTAGTATGTTTAGTGTTGCTAAAAACAGAATACCCACGTCTGGGTAATTTATACAGAAAAGGTTTGTTTAGTTCCCAATTCTGGTGGCTGGAAAGTCCAAGAGCATGGCGTTGGCATCTGCTTGGCTTCTGGGGAGGGCCTTGTGCTACAAGACACAGCGGAAAAGCAGAAAGGTGAGTGGGCAGGTGCAAAGGTAACTCGCTCTCACGGAGTGAGAACTCACTCCTTCAAGAAGGCATCCATCTATTCATGGGGGTTCACTCCCATGACCCAAAAACCTACCACTAGGCCCCCCAGTTACATCTGCAATTAAATTTCAAGACAAATGGCATCCAAACCATAGCACTGTGTTAAAATGCAACTTCCATACAATAAAATACCACAAAGTCAAATGACAAATCGTAGCTAAGTTCCTTTCAACTTACATAAAACTGGATTGTTTCACATCATTGGATCCAGAATACGCCAAATCAGGAAAAAAGAGGCAAATATAAAACCAGTGTCCTGAGGACATTAAAAAAACCAGGACTCCCAGGAAGACACACTCAACAAGTTATCAAGAGAAAGCAAACGTGAAGCAACACATTTCACACCTGCCAGAGCTCAGATGGGCAGCGACGATGTGGGGAAAAGGTCCCTCTTATCTCGTCAGACATTGGGCTAACTGGAGCAGCCATTTGGCCATAATTAGTGAAGTTCAGCGCACACCCATCCATGACCCATTTCACCTCTAGGTGTGTCCCACGCACAAGGATCATGGCTGTTTTGCTCCCGTTCACAGACACCCAGGACCATAAACCACCTAGAGATCTCAAAACGAGATGCCCACATTTATCAGCTCGTCACATGCAGTCTCTTGATGAAACAAAACTGTAGCATACGTATTGTTACTCACATAGTTTGAAACACAGAGACTAAACTCTGTATAGTTTACAGGTCCCTTATTAGATCCTGTGAGTTGGCTAAGACCCATGCCCAGATCTTTCCACCCCACCTCCTCCACCGGGTGACAGAGCTCTGGCCTCTCTACAGCCAGGCCTGGCCTGCCCAACGAGGCTTCAGCAGTCTGCTGCGTGTCAGGGGAGGAGAGGAACAAACAGTTCTGGGTCGCAGTGATGGTTTTCCTGAAGAGGAAAGGGTGGGTTGTATTGTTCTCAGGAAGTAGCAGGCCTGAGGGAAAGTTCTAGATCTGTAGGGGCCATCTTGGCCCTGGCCGAGCCTGAGCCAGCAGTCCACTGTCAGCCTGTTCTTTGAAGAATGAGCCTTCTGTGAGGTCTGCAGCGCCCAGCCATGTTCTCAGCTCTCAGCAGTGGGTGCCCTCCTGACTGACTCACAGGGTATGGATGGAACTGTGCTATCCTCAAGTTCATATGGTTAAGCCCTAGCCACTGGCATGAAGGCACTGGAGATAGGGCTTTCTCCAATTAGGTTGAGATAAGGTCACGAGTGAGGGGTCCTTATGATGGGATTAGTGCCCTCCCAAGACACCAGAGACCTTACTCTCTCCAGCTTGGGGGGACAGAGCAACAAGACAGCTTTCTGCCAGCCAGGAAGAGTCCTTGCTGGAGCCCAACCATGCTGGCTCCCTTGTCTCAAACTTTCAGTCTCTGAAAACTGAGAAAATAAATTTCTACTGTTTAAGCCACCTGGTCTTCAGCATTTTGCTACGGCAGCCTGAACGCACACACACACATACAGGTAACATGGTCCCAACACAAGATGTAGGGAGACGGGATATGGGGCGGGGTGGGGGGGGGGTGATACCTGCCAACAGCAGGAGAGCCATTGCCTGGGGAGGCAGGCAAGAATGAAAAATGTGTAATTTAATCTCATTTTAAACCTTTCATTAAAAAGCAACCCAAAACACACATGGTAATATATTAACTATTCCAGCATGAGTTTCACCAATGTATTCTGAATATGTGTAATATTTCATTACAAAAACACCACCCTGATATCCTGTCAGCAACAGCTCCAATCACAATCCTGAGGAGTCACGGGCGCTGTGGCTGCAGGAGTATCTAGGACCACCATATTGTTTCAAACCAAACAGTATTTGATTTGAAAAATCAAATACTGTTGATTTTTCTTCAAGGGTCATTGCATGCAGGGGCTCAAACTCAGGTTTCACAAGCAAACAATATTCTCTAACGAAATGGCAAACAGAAGGGAGGATTCCCTGGTCCTGTCTAAATTTAAAAAAGAACACATGAGAAAAAGAGGCCTATCAGAGAACCCTAAAAATTCTAATCAAGCAACTTTATTCACATAATTTCTACAGCAAGAACTCGAGGGTCATCTCTGATGGAGCCAATTTCACTAATAATTGCTTTAAGGGCAGAGAAGTCAACCAACTCCTCACATCGTCTCGAGAATTAAAAACAAAAATACAAACAGAGAGCAAGGGAGAAGAGAAATAACATTCCACAATCACCTAGCTACAGACTTTTAGCTCTGAATTTTTCTAGCACAATACCACTTTTCTCTTCCGTCCCGTAAGATGTGTTCTTCTTTCCTCTAGGGGGAAAAAAAAAGACAAAGAAAATGATGTTAGCAAAATTCTACTAGAATTCCCAACGCTAGCCACTAAAAGGTTAACTGTTTTCTACTTACTCCACTGCATATATAAAAATACTTACAGAAAATGGCATTAAATAAATAAGTTACGTTAGAGAAACAATAAAAATGTAAAGGCAATCCCCCCCGCCCCCCACGCCATCCCACATACTCCCCCAAGACAGCGCAAGCTGGTGGAGAAGTCCTCATCCCACACGCTGGCCCAGGTAGCACTGCACAAGCGAATTTAGGAGTTCTAAGACTCAAGCTACTTCTTATCTATTAAAAGGAGAGACAGCCTGCCTACTGGACAGAATCCATCTAACCAAGGGGTTCTGGTGGGGATTAAAGAAAAGGCGTAAAAACAGTTCGGCATGGCCTGGCACAGACAGCCCTCAGATGTTAGGCATAAAAACTCCTTATGTAGTTGCAGCTCATGAAGATTTGGTCTTTTTCCTTAAGAAATTTATCATTTAAGCAGGAAAAGCGGAAAAAAATATAGGAAACCAGTTAAATACGTTGATACTGTGGTTTAAAATGAAACCTGGGGTGTTTACGATTTGACTTGCTATCAAATTCCAGGGATGCGGGGAGGCGGGCCCTCCTGGGCCACCAAGGGCTGGGTCCTCAGGACAGACTCTCCAGTCCCACGGCAATGCAGCCGCACACTATTTTCTGCAAGGCCGAGGCCCCTCCTGTGTGGCTGGGCCAGAAGAAAGCCCTTTTGGCTGAGCAGGTGAAAAAGCAAGACAGGATCCTCTGCACAGAGCACTGGGGCAGGACGTCATACATGGAAAGAGGACCTCAGGCAACTGGTGCGGTGCCAGCAGATTATGGAACTCGGTGAAAGGCACAAGACAGAATCCCAGGGGCAGGACGATGGTAAAAGAGCTGAGAAAATGCAGTTAGCTCTAGACAAGCAGGGCAAGCAGAGCATAGGAGCTCTGATGTGTGGGAGGCCAGGAGAAACCTCAGATTACTCTCTTGGCCAGGAGTTGTTTTCAGTGCAAGTGCTCCCCTTTCAACTGAGAATCCTGAGAGGTCATCCGTTAAACAGAACGCATAAGCTTCGCTCTCAAAGCAGACTCCACGCCATGAAGATGCAGCTGAGATTCTCAAAAGGCTTTACTACCTGTGGCTGAAAGCACAAGGCCAGCGGCTTGGTGTGAAAATGCCAAGTGGGCACAGGAGGGGCACCAGGCAAACAGTTGGAGACCAAGACCCAGGGAGAGACTCTGCTGTCAGCCACGCACTGCCAGGGAAGGAGCTCCGGGGGCCCTGCTCACACAGTGCCCCTGACCCTAGCTGGGGCCCTGTAGAGAGAAACCTTTCCCAGTACCTGAACACTTACATCTGTCCGTCCTCAACTGGGAAGATAAATGACAACGAGCCTTGTTCCATCTGCTTCTGGTTAGCTTACACAGTATGGCTTTATACACGGAAATGACTTAACCAAACCTGGGAGCTTCTAGAACTAAGCCAAGGAGCCCGAGCCAAAAGGTTTCTACCTTGTGCTGCTAACCTACAAGAAGAGCCCGTTCCAGACAGCACCCCAACGCAGCACCCACCATCTGCACCGTGGCACCCAGCATCTGCACCCCCGGGAGGGTGCAGGTCACCTGCAGAGCGCAGGCAGCTGAGCAGTGGGTAGAGTCTGGGGATGCAACAGCAAAGAACTGGAAAGAAGGGGAGAGAACGCCGGCAAAAGCTCCCTTGGAAGGAAAGGGAAGGGCTGTCCTATGCAGACCCTGCAGCAGTCCCAGGGCATAGGGAAGACAGTGACAGTGAGAAAGGCACCAGACAGCTTAGGCCACGGGAGGCCACTGGTGGTCTGAGTGTGTGGTCTGTCATGTGCAGGCTTCGAAGGCAGGCGCCACTAAAAGAACAAGGCATACCGGACCTAGGTTCTGAGCTGGATGGGCAATTTGCAGGCCAGGTGAGCCCTGGGGGGAGAAACAGAAAATGGGACATTCATGGCAGGCAGCGTCCACCCAAATGATCTCAGAGAAAAGGCACATCACTGGAGTCAGGTACAACGGAAGAGGATACTGGAGACACCGCCTCACCTGCTGGAACCACAAACACACAAAACTCAAAGAAACTGGCCAAATCGAACCCATAGTCAAGTCCCGTCAGCCTGTGGGTGAGCCGTGGCACTGAGTCTAAGAAGAGTCACATCCTCCAGATCCTGGCTGTGGAAACGGAGCAGCTGTGCTGGGGAATCCAGCCCTTCAAGCAACAAAGGTACCTGCCCACACTTACAGCCCCCACTAACATCTCCCTGCCCCTGTCTCTCAGGAAAATCAAAGGGCACACCTAGACTACAACTCTAGCTGACATGATTCGCACAAATTAAGCCGCAAAACGAGGTGCAGAAGTCTGAACAGGGAGCACTGAGATGAACTGCGGGGCACGCCTCGCCTCTGTGAGAAAACTATGCTGGTGGCTCTCCCAGGCCACTCTTGCTCTGTCCCTACCAGGAATCCAGAAGTAGACAGGAAGTCACTCGCTTTAGATCAGTTTCACCTTACAACAGCTAATTTCTGAGTGTGTCAGATGAAGAGGTTAGAAAGGAAGGTTTGATAAAGATGAATCAAATGTAGTACGTGAGGATTCAGGGAAAAACCTCTGAATGCACACGAATGGAAAGTGTGTGAAACTTGCAAGAACGTCTTCTGCTTTACCTCGACGCATCTAACACAGGAAAACATTCTTGATACAGACACTGATCTTACAGGAAGGAAAAGTGTTGGGGAGAATGCTGGGAAAATGAATACTTATGTAAGAATTCGGTTGAGATTCATTAAAAGTGGCACAAAGGTTCCTCCCATAAAATAAAAAGCGGCTGTCCAAAGAGTGGTCACTCACGTAGGACATCACATTCAACCAACAGAAACGCACCTTCCTCTCTTCTGAGCTGGGCTGTGAAGAGCTGCCTTGCTCTCCCGGTCTGACAGCGTTGCCCTACCCCACCTGAGGCACCCCGGGCATCAGCCTGGCGTCCGGAGCCCTGGGGGTCTGATAACCTGGGTCTTTTCGCAGGGAACTGATGGTCTCTGGCACAAGCAACACGTGTAGACGAATGAGCCTCAATTGCAGTTGAATCCGGTAGATTTTCTCTGCACCCCAGGGGTGATGACGGTAACTTCCAGAAACCCTGGAAACGAGGGTCTGGATTTAATTTTTCTAAAAAGACGTCTGCTTGATACTCAGCTTCCATACTTGCTTTATCTGGAGAGACTCCAATACATAAAGGCACCTTCATCTGCCCAGGGGATCTGGGGCAATATTTTTGATGAAGCTTGTCAAATTCTTCTTTTATTTCATCGTAACGATTCCTTCCATGGCCTAGCACTTCTTTATCTGGGACTGAAAGAGTTTTGCTGGGCGATACTGACTTTCTAACTACTCCAGAATGGTTTCCTTGAACATGAAGATCAGATGTCTGCTGTGTGTGAGCTGGGTTGTGTGTGGGGTTGGTCCCTGGAAGTGATGAAGAGGAATCACTCTTGGATAGGTACCTACTTGCTTCCAGACAACTTTTGCCCAGGTTTTCAAAAGTCTCACTTAAACTTCTTGCTTTTGTTTTGCTGGAAGGTAAACTCAGCCTGCGGGTTTCTAAGCCCTGAAAGCCACCGGGGCTCACAGGGCTCCCTCTGTACAAGTTCACGGCCCAGGAGTCTGGGAGGCCAATCCGGTGAGGCTGGCTCCTGGGACTCAGGCAAGTATTCCTGATGAAGCTGATCAAATCGGATTTCAATCTCCCTCTGATGGTTCGCTCCATGGCCCTGTCGTATTCTTGGTCTGGAAACTATTTTTACAGGAGAAATTAACCATTTTAATGTCCTAAATCTATTTTCCTTATCAAGATTATGTGTTGCACTGGAGCTGAAATAAGTCAAGGAAGAATACTTCGAGGGTGTCACTTTCAGCTCCTTCCAACTCGGATGTAACTTACGGGCTTGGGGTTTGTTGACTTCAAGAAAAGGTTTTTCCAATTTTAAACCTGTCTTACGACGAGAAACATCCAGTGAGTTCTTGCAGTCTCTTAATGCTCCTGTCTCTTTCACAGGCTCAGAGCAGACAGCAAAGCTCTCCTTGGGGCTCCTCTGAGAACGCCTGCCTCCTTTGCAGTATGTTTTGTTCATCCTGCTCTTACATCTGTGCCTCTTCCTGGAGTTCCAGTTTTGCATGATGAACGTTTTAGTGGAGATGATGCTTGATGGCTTTGTGCTCAACAGCCGGCTCATGGAATGCAGCATCCCCGCGTACAGGTCACTGATGGTCACGTTGCAAATGCCATCGTCTTCAAAGGGCTGGCTGCTTGAGAAGCTGCTGCTACTGGTCTCTTGTAGGGAGAGGCCGTCATTTCTAGGTACTAAGGCCACGTCTGTGGAGGAAGTATGTGAAGGACCCCATTCTCTGGGAGATGGTGCTGGTTTCTCTGGGTCACCAGAATTCTTTCCGGAGACAAAACCGCAGTATCCTGGGAGAAAAGACACACATAAAGTAAAGGTGTGCTACCATTCTAAACCATCCGTGTGCACAGAGGACAGAACTTAAGACTGGATCAGGACTGCATTTTTAAGCAATAGTAAAAACAAAACACCACAAATGTGTAGGAGTAGACTCTTCTCAGAGATTTCTTTTTTTGCTTTCAAAATTTGATTTCTACTCTCCATCGTGCATTTCCCAAACGTGCCTGCCTTTCCCTCTGGGCTGTTTAGAAGATGGATGCCTTTTCAAAAGCTAATTAGAAACTGAAAAATGATGACACCGTTCACTACAGAGATGGGTAGGGGATAAGAACTCTAAACAAACCTCTTCATCGAGCTCTGACTTTTGCATCATATTAAATGCTTCTTGGGGAAAAACCCTAAAATGGCATACAAACAGAAAAAATAAACCTGTATGTTAACCTAATAACTGAAAGAGAAAAAAGAGTCTAAATACTCTGAATGTCTGCCTCTTAAAGGACTGTCTAAGGATAAAAAGAGCTGCTTGGAAATTCCGAAGCTTGTTTAGATTGTTGGGAAGAGTGGTAGCAGATGCTGCAATGCCAGAGTTATTTTGTGTTGTACGATGGACCAGACGAGCGCAGTGTTACGTCACTGAGGCTGGTGATAACTGGGAGAGGCAAATATGGCATCAGGGTAGGGGTGAAGAGCTCAAAAGCGCATGGGGTTGCATCACACGGCACAAAAGCCAGCCTAAAAGGGGCTCCCTGCCAGCTAAATCTGGGGCTACTTGAGTGCCAACTTGAATACTGGCAATGGATTTTAACATGTGAATTAAAGAACAAAAGACTACATGAATTCCTACAGATCCCCAAAAATAATAATAATAAATCAAAGCATAAGAGGGCACTAAAAGAAGTGGGGGGGGGGGAGAACCAGAGCAGAGATAGCTCTTCTGAATAGAGGAATGCCAACTAGCATGTGCTAAGGAATGGCAGGAGACAGAAACTGGCCTGGGCTGAAACATCACTCAGGCGATCCTCAGTGCTGGTTCCTAAATCACCGGGTGAGAAGTTTTTAGAGAAAGGGATCCTAGGAGATCACAAAGAATCACACACAGGTGACCCCAAGGAAAAAGGGCCCGTTGCAGGGAGAAACTGGGCAGGTCTCACTTTAACTCAATGACCAGCCTCAAAGTCACCAAGAGTGGGACAAACTGACCAGACGTTCTGAGAGGACACGTCGTCCCTGTAGTAGTTTTGCCAGAAATGTTTAACATGAACCTAACCACGAGGAAGCAATCAGGTCCCAATTCAGGGACATTCTGCGAAACTACTGGCCTGGACTACTCAAGAAAGACGGTAATATGAAAGGTGGCCACGAGGGAGACAAGGCCAAGGAGCTGCTCTCGATGGCGGGAGACTAAACGCGCCAGTGGTACCAGCCTGAGTGGGTCTGGAAACGGTCAGACAAACCAGAACGGCTGCAAAGGACATCACTGGCACAATGGGTAAAACTGTACTCTATCGGTGGTCAATTTCTGGCACGTGTTAAGCGTATCGTAGTCACAAAGGAGAATCACCCGATTCTTGGAGGTATGTGTAAAGCATTTAGATAAATGTGTACACAAATGCAAATAAATATACACTGTGTGTGCACGTGTGTGGGGGGTGACAAAGCAAACATGACAACATGTTAACTGTGAAACACATGAAGGCTGTTCATTGTACTACTCCTGTGCTTCTGGAGACGCAAAAACTTTTCAAACTAGTAAGCTGGAAGAAAGAGCAGACTTGCAAAGGAGCAAACAGCTCATTTTAAAACATCTTCATCTTCCTATGAAATGCAAGTATATCTCTAACAATTTATGTTGATGAAACATGACAGGAAATGACAGTGTGCCCAGTGTGAGCAGCGCTGAGGGGCCACACAGCTCCAATGAAAGTGAAGAAGACACGCACAGTTCACAGTTTCTGTGTCACACTCACCAGTGGCAGGCATGGTGGGTGAGGCCAGTGACGGGAGCGGAGTCACACGTACATCCTTTCCAGCTCTGTTAGCTGCATACTGAAATCAGAGCCAGTGGTTACAACAAAAAAGTTGCCAGGTGTCAACTGGGTACAAGGAGCTGGGTTATCCCTTGACAATGCGATATCCCCAAGGATGGTGTAAGGAGCTGCTTCCCTTTCAACATAGACTGTGCATCTTAGCATAGCCATGCTGACAAGTGTGTGAACGTGATGACAGTGGCCAGCTGGGCTTCGGGCAGTGGAAGGAAAAAGTGTCCTAGTAAGATATGGACACTCAACGTGGTGTCTAGGACAGCTTCCAGCCACAGTCGGCACTCATCTGCCAGTTACTTCTTACCCTGGGGGTGCTGGTAGCTTTGTCTACCGTTATACTTGGACCACAAGAACACCCAGAGGCCAGGTGGACGGTGGACAAAGAAGACCCGACAGAGCTGCTCCTAACTCTAATCTGTTCCCCGGATCGACACAGCAACCAGGAGGACACCATTTGCTGCCTTGGACTAAAGGAAAAAGCATTCAGGTACGTCCACCAAGTCAGTGGTCCTCAAATACAGGCCTTCCACTGGTCAGCAGCACGGAAGGAAAACAGATACACCCCTGTGAGACTGCTGCTTTTCCTGGAGATGAATTTTATTCTGCCATGTGTACTTCCTAGGTATTTGCTGTTGCAATGTCCTTTATTCTATGATAGAGGGCACAGGACCTTACGAGAGGGGGCAGTGGGTGAGAATGCCCACCTCTCATGCCATCACATCCCCTGACCTCTGAACAGGTGGGACAGGTGCCAAGGGTCAGGCACCTCACCTTGCAGCTGATGCTAGCCTGGTCATACCGGGGAAGGCACCTACTGCTTCCTTAACTATGCAGCCTCAAATCCCGGTCCAGAGGCTGGGGCTGCTCTTAAAGAGCCCAGGTGTGGCCCTCACAGACTTTTTTCTTTTGTGACAGAGCCTTGCTCTGTCGCCCTGGCTGGGGTGCTGTGGCATGACTTTCGGTTCACTGCAACCTCCACCACCCAGGTTCAAGCAATTCTCCTGCCCCGGAGTAGCTGGGATTACAAGTGCTCGCCACCACACTTGGCTAATTTTTGTATTTTTAGTAGAGACGGGGTCTCACCCTGTTGGCCAAGCTGGTCTCGAACTCCTGACCTCAGGTGACCCAACTGCCTTGGCCTCCCAAAATGCTGGGATTACAGACCTGAGCCACCATGTCTGGCTGCCCCACTACCTTTTTCTGTGAGCTGCCTCAGAACAGTGGGCAGAATGCCTCTGCCAGGGCTCCCACCTTCCTGATGGTGCTGCCCGGGGGACGTGGAGTGTTTACTCAAGAGCAAGTATCTCGGCATGTGAATAAAACAATTTGGAAATCATGACTCCAAATGCTCTTTACTGGGTTCTGTATGATAACACTGTACCTCAATGTGTGATATAAAAACAAATACTGGGAATTGAATTACCTCAAAATACTCTGCACCTTGTAGCAGTATATCCACTTGGCTCAAGTATTTCCTTCTTAATTCATTTTTCAAAGGGCTTTGAGGCACTGCAGGCTGATCAAAAAAGAGAAGTCAGAATTTTTAAGAGCTTCTGACCTTTTGGATTCTGGAACAAACTGGCAAGCTCACTAATGTACAAATCTTTACATGATGTTACTCAAAGTCACTTTCACCTCCATGATGTTATTGAGTCACTTTTTCATCTCCTGCTGTGTTACTAACCCAAAAGAATGTAAAAAGACGAAACAAAAAAAAAAACCAAACCAAAAAAAAAACAAAATAAAACGGAGTCTGGAGAAGTTTATGACAGCATTTCCAGACAAGAAAAAATATATATAACCACCTGAATATTCTTAGGTGAGTTCGGGACTCAACTACTGGTAATAAAACTGCTAAGTTTATAAGAAATTCAGTGCTCCTGGCTGGGCGTGGTGGCTCACGCCTGTAATCCCAGCACTTTAGGAGGTTGAGGTGGGTGAATCACTTGAGGCCAAGAGTTCACGATCAGCTTGGCCAATACGGTGAAACCCTGTATCTACCAGCTGGGCATGGTGGGCACCTGTGGTCCCAGCTGCTTGAGTGGCTGAGGTAGGAGAGCTGCTTGAACCCAGGAGGTAGAGGTTGCAGTGACCCAAGGTGGTGCCACTACACTCCAGCCTGGGTGACAGAACAAGACTCCATCCCAAAGAAATCAAAAGCAAAAACAGAACTTCAGTGCTCCAGCTCAGGAGGCTGCCCTACCACCCCTCCCCTGCCAGACACTGGAAAGAGAAGGGCATCACCCTGATCCTCTGCGGAGTGGGGCTGGCCTTTGGTTCTTGGCTCTTGGCCCCACTCACTTTCCCTTTGCTGCCAATCCCGACATAAGCCCTCAGTAAGCACCCACTTTCTTCCCCAGGGCCACTGTCTTTTTCTTCTTAGTCACTGACAGTCACACATGGGTGCGTGGGAAACTCTCTGTGCTAAAGTAGCAATTTTACAGGAAAACTGTGCACCAGATATTCTAGTAGGTGACAGGGTGACATGGGGGCCAGGAAAGATGCTTGAGCAGGTTAAGCTCTGTGTGAATTCTCACGTATCTCAACCAAGGAGGGCAAGAGGCACATCCTATAAGGAAATGGGTGGTTTCTGTGACCCTGAGGTACTCTAGGAAGCAGACATTTAAATGACAGTTACTGTTTAGGTGAGTGATGGCTGCCCAATGAGGCAACCTGTGACCTGGGGCTTTTGAGGGCAGACATGGAAATACTTCCTAGAGCACTTCTCTTTTGATCCCTGCCTCTAGTGGGGTAGACCAAGAGCCCTCATGTGCTCATCAAGGCGAATGGAGCCTTGTCAACCACACTGACAGCTTCATCTGCAGAGTGAAAATCATCAGGAATCAGGCTTGCACTGGGGGTAGAATTGGCTGCCAAGTCCTAGACTGAAAAGGAGTCACTTACCCCCTAAGGGAATATGGACAGCATAAGACTTGAAAGTAGCAAAAGCCAGCCTCAGGAGAGGATTTCCAGAAGGGTGCAGGCAACGCTGCCCGCCCCAGGCCACATGGGCTTTGATGGATCCACCCCTGAGCTCCCAAGCGCCCCCTTTGTCCATTCATTATTAAAGCAGGACTTACCGCTAAGGCCCAAGCCACTGACTCTTCCTGGTCTGAAGTGACATAGACGTCACTGCTTTTTGAATCTAAAAATCAAACAAGTAAATATCAATCAGGATTTTTAGGAAAGAGTGCATTTTCCTCTCAAGGATGGTTTTGGAATCACATCTAAGTTCTAAAGTAAAAGTCCCCATTGCTTCAAGTTGCACCCACTGGAGTCATCTGTGGCTGTCCATGGTTCTTACTAACCCAGAGAACCCCTTGGAATGGGAATCTGCCTGGGGCCATGGAGTAAAGAAAGGCAGATTCTGCACCACCTCCAGCTTTCCATGGCCTCTGAGCCTGGAAGTTGAGACATTCAAGCCGAGCACTGCCCAACAGAACTTACAGTAACCATGGAAAGTTCTCTCTCTGCTGTCCCAGGCCCACCACTAGCCACATGGGGCCACTGGAATGTGGCCACTATGGCTGAAGGAACGGATTTTAAATTTTATTTAACTTTCAATTAATTTAAATATCATCTTGAGGGGGCTGGTGGGTGCCATACTGGGCAGTACAGCTGTCAAATAACTATTTCCTGTCATTTCAAGCAGTTGGGGATATTCATGGACCCAAGGATTTACAGTTAAAATCTGGATTAACAGCAGTAACCACACAGCATCACAGGTAAATATCCTCAAGAAGAGCTTTCTCATTTCTACTCTGAAAGACCACCAGCTTCCCTTTAGCAACTCAACACCCATCACTAAATGTTGGTGCAGGCAAGGTGCCAGGGAAAGGGCTGGGCAGAGTGGGCAGAGGCTCCAGAAGGCCAGTGTTCAGGAGAGATAGGCATTTAAAGGCTAGTGACAAAAATGTTTCATGGCCACAAACAGAGGAACCCAGGTCTAAAGAGTTTAGTTAAGAAGGGGGTCTGTTCCAGCCTGGGGATCACAGGGGCTTCCCGGGGGCAGTGAGACCAGGTTGGCAGATCAGGTGGGCCTTCAGGCCCCATTCTGGGTTCTGGCCTTTTACCCCAAAAGCAATGGGAAGCCACGTGTTGCATCAGAGAAGTGGCTGGACCACATTCACAGGTGTGTCAGTTGGGCAGAGGGCGCCCGGGTCGGGGTGGGGTCTGGTGCTCAGGGTGGACATGAGAGATCATGAGGCACAAGGCACAGGACAGGGATGCCCTGGCTGTGAGGAATGAGGCAGAGGCTGAGCTGAAGAGGACCCTGGGTTTCTGGCTCACACTAGAGGGAAGATGGTAGGGGCCTATACTGAGGTGCAGAAAAGAAGATGGGGAGCCTGTCTGCCGGGCTGAGTGTTAGCTGTGCCAAGTCTGGACATGAAGTATTGAAGCAGAGGGGCTGCTCGGCAATCACATGCCCTCTGTTGAGGTCTGGCTGGAGGTTATAGTCAACATACAGTGAAGCCATGGCTCCATGCAGGTGAGGGGCGAAGGCGACTCAGACAAATCCTCCAGAAAGGGCACACGGCAGGGCTAGGAGGTGAGCAGACTGCAGGCTGGGAAGGAAGAAGATGGGGGCGACCACAGAGACCCAGGCCAGAACTTCCAGAAGGTTTAAATGCTATGGAGAGGGCAAAACCCAAAGAATAAAACCCTAAGAGTGCGAGCAGGATTTAGCAACAGGGTCGCGAGAAACCTCACCCAGATTTGGGCTTTAGAGATGGAGCCAGAATGGAATCGAGAGAGGAATGTACGGGGCTGGCGGGGCAGGGAATCCACGGCAGCAGTGACCTCCAACGGAGCAGGTCATTTGACTCTCGTTGTAAAGGGAACTGGACAAAGGAAGGGGCCCAGGACAGGGGAGAGCCACGAAGGGTCTGATGTGTTAAGGGGAGTCTGGGCACATCTAAACACCAATGGATGGATCCAGGGAACAGATGGAAGGAAAGGGTGAGGGACAGATTCCCGAGAAACGAGAACAGATGGGGCTGGGCAGTGAGACTGGCCTGGGGGAAGGGAAGAAGCCTCCTAGGAAGACGAGGTGGGAAGCTTCCCTGTAGAAGTGAGGGTTCACAATACCACGCTGTAAGGGCAAATCTGAAATCTGGGTACTATTATTTTTTCACATGGAGGGGCATGTTTATTTACTCAAGAAATACCACCTGAGTACTATTCATATGCCAGGCAACAGATGTAACTGTGGGCAAGGCAGAGCTCAGAAGGAATCAACAGCGAACTTTAACATGATTTTAGTTTTTAAGATATACCTTAGAAAAAACAAAAACTTTTAATACTGAGGAATCTCAGCTTTCAGCTGTTGTAACAGGTGTGTCAGGTCTGGTCCTTCCTGACCTCAGTTCTCTGACAAAGGCGACACTCACCGGCTCCCAGGACTGTGTGGTGCGAGGGAAGCTCAGGAGCCTGCGCTGCAGCTTGCACGGAGCCATCTGTCCTGTCTGTGGGCCTCACGAGGGAGTCCTCCGAGTGCAGAAGTTAATAAAGACATGGTTGTTTGAGTGACAGCGCATTTCAGTCACTGTAAAGTCACAAACCTGCAATCCCTCCGTTAACACAGTTGACAGCAGGAGCCTCCCACAAGGCTTCTCTTCTCCCTGCATGTCCCCTTTATGAGAGGACTCAAGAGCAGGGGCGGAAGCTGAGGCTCACTCTGGTTGCACAGAGCTGCTACTTAAAAAGCCACTTGGAAGGTAGGGAAGGAGCAGGGAAAGTCTGGGGCCCAGTCGCAAGCAGGTAAGCTCACACCTCCTAACACTGGCCCAAGGATGATAGGGACTGGGACAAGGAAAAAACCAAACTGAAATAGAACAAAATTATCCTGAGGTCATCAGCGAAAACACAGAAATAGTCAGGTGGCCCCTGGGGGACTTCCTGTGATCTTTAAAGAATGTGATGGAGTATTAAGGCCTAAGGCCAGGAGGCAGGCTGGCATGGTGGCTCACGCCTGTAAGCCCAGCACTCTGAGAGGCCGAGGCAGATGGATCACCTGAGCTCAGCCTGGGAAATACGATGAAATCCCATCTCTACTAAAACCACAAAAAATTAGCTAGGCGTGGCAGCGTGCACCCTTAAACCTAGCTACTCGAGAGGCTGAGACAGGAGAACCCGGGAGGTGGAGGTTGCAATGAGCCAAGATCACGCCACTGCACTCCAGCCTGGACAACAGAGTGAAACTCTGTCTCAAAACAAAAAACAACAACAAAAAAACAAAACAAAACAAAAAAAAACGCTGGGAGGAGTCAGTTTAAGCCTAAGCTATAGTCACAAGGGCAGCTGCTTGTCCTGACCAGGAGCTCACACCTGGTGGGCAGGCGGCCACACTCCTCGGCAGGCCTGCTTCAGCTCTCCAGAGCCTGCTCTCCAGCATGAATAATCCCAGCAAATGGCACTGGTGGGTTCTCATTAGTGAAATTCAAGCACTCAAGATACCAGACTGGTTAAAATATTAATATTTTAGGAACCACCCAGCCTTATAAGAACAGGGTAGTGAGAAGGTGGTGAGGCCTATACCATTAGGGATGGTCTTCAGGTGTCAACTCTGAGGGTTCAAGGGACTTGGGGCTACCCAGGAGCACTATGTGGTAACTGATGCCCATTTCCAGAATATCAGAACCTTTGCTTCCAGTGAAACCATCATGTAAGCTAGAGTTTACAGGGTTGTTTTGTGGCTGTGTCTGAGGCAGAATCTGGTTTGAGAATCACGGAGAGGCAGACGATCTACACCAACCCCAAACTACCTGGCAGCTCTGATAGCTACAAAGAGAGTCCAAGCGTGTGTTATAATCAAACCAGCACAGCCTGTTAGGGCCCACTGCCTCCCGCAGGCTCCAGGGCAGCAGGAGCACCGAGTTGTCTGGGAAAAGGTGAAGGTGGATCTCGGCACTGTCACCAACAGCAATTACAGTGAAGTCAGAGATGTCCCAGCTGAAATCTCAGACTACACCCAGTTTCCTCCTTATCCCAAGAACGGGTCTGAAGATTCTGGAGATCCAGGTAGGGTCTTCCTACATTTTAAGCAAAAACCTTAAATAAATCTTCAAATGATGAGTGGACATCTCTATTATGTATAATTAAAACAGTATATATCCTTTAACTCAATAATCCTACTTCTCGGCATATCAGTACTGGGAGAAGATAAGGACCAGGATTTCCTTTGAGAACCATTTCTAACAGGGGCTTTATAAGTAAAGTTTTATTGGAACACAGCCATGTATACTCATTCACATATTTTTTTGGTCACTATCCCCCTGCAACACAGAACTGAATAGTCATAACACAGACCATATAGCCAGCAAAGCCTAAACTATATAACATCTGACCCTTTGTGGAAAAAGTGTGCCAACTCTTATTTATAATGAAGGAAGCCACAAATAGCTAATTGCCTATCAATAGGAGAGCAGTTTAAAAAGTGTAGTTTTTAAAATAATTATGTAATTATACAATAGTTGATGAAGAGAAGAATTCTCCATATATATTAACTGGAAAAGTGAGATAAAAAATGCACTTATAAAAATGTTATAGGGAATCACATTGTACTAAAATAGCGTTAGTGACCATCTGTGCATAGAGAAATCATCTCATTTATGGAGTTGTATGTACTTATAACATTTCTATGACTAGAATAATTAATCAAGAAGATTTGATTTCAAATTTGTTGTTAATATTATGTCACCTTGACCTTGATGTTTTCATTCGTGGACACAGGTTCCCTGACCTGTGACCACGGGGAGGAACCATGTGGCATCTGAGAGGCAGTGATTAATTGAATGCCAGACAACCTTGCAAAAGGGCTCATGGGTGTCCTCGCAGAAAGGCCAACAGCACTTTCCACTAAAATAACAGGTCTCAGAGCTGCAACACCTTTGGATCAAGTAGGCAGGGAAACCCAGGTCTTTGGAAGGTAGAAAAACGCAGAGGGAAAGATGTGTCACCCTCCACACTGCACCTCCCTCATCTCTCTTCCTCCCTTTTCAAAAGAGGAAAGGAGGCATTTTTTTTTTTTTTTTCTCTAGAAGGAACTGGATTTGGTCTTTTCTGTAAGGTCTCAACACAGTGAGCCCCTCGCTGGGGCTGGCCCAGCCTCTGCACGTGTGTTATCAGAGCCCCTCAGCCTGTGACACAGGAAACACAGGGTGACCAAAAGGCTAAACATTACACAGTGCCTCCTTGCATTGGACAAGCAACAGCAAAAACGCTTCTAAGTAAATCCTTAAAAACAGAAAAAGAGTGTAGTCAAGATGAGAAACAGTGCTCCTTGGTGGCCTCCAGATAACCTCAGAGGTTGGGTACACCCACACCTTTATTCACAGCAATACTCCTCCACAGCAAGGTTATTTGGCAATAAAAGTTCACGTTTAATACCTGGATCTCTCCTTTATTTCTTTCCTGTATTAGTCTTCCACCCCAAATTCTCAATCCTGAAGAAAAGAAACAAAAACGACCATTTAAATAATCCTGAATGCTGATTTTCTGCTCAATCTGTATTCACCGGAAGCCAGAGTGACAGGCGAATAAAAAGGTACAATATTACAATATTAAAACCAAGCCGTTTCTGATACCCCGCTGTTGTTCATCTTGGTAAAGTTTCAGGTTTTTAAGGCAAATTTGTTATTCGTGGAAATCTCTCCCATCTACTAGGCAGCAGCCCATTAAGTTATATCATTAGCCCAAAAAGTCAAATGTAAACAAGGAACATATATATGACGACTGTCCTTAAAATATATATAGAGAGGGCAATCTACATACTATATACAGAGTTAGCACTTTTTGCAGGCAATCTATCTCTATATCCGATATACAGAGTGAATGCTTTCTAAGGGCAATTACATGTTACACAGAGACCAAAGGGTAACAGAGACCTGCCACTGGAATATTTTAGTTTCTGCCTGTGCAAACTTTTCACCCCAGGTGTGCCTGGATTGGCTATAAAGGCAGAAAGGTAGGATTTCTTTTAATTCAAGGAGCAGATCTTGTGAACCTTTTCTGCCTGTTTACTACAACATAGAACTTGCTCTGAGGTTTGTTTTCATTAAGTGATAATCAGTTAGTTATAAAGCTATACGGGAAGAATTGACCCCAGGCAGTGCAAAGCATCACCAGCTATTTACCAGAAAGAATCCACACGATTTCAGTCCGATTTAACGAGTGCCTTCTTCTCCCTATTCAAGTACTTGGAGCTTCAAGGAAGACAGTTACTACTCCAAGCTCAACAGGGCAAACAAGTCGATGTGAGTGTTCCTCTTCCCAGAGTTTCATAGGAATTGTAAGTACTGTTACAACACCCACACCCAGGAGATGTTACTATCATCATCCTTCCCATTTCACAGATGAGGACACTGAGACCAGTCCAGCTAAGCAACTGGCCCAAGCTACCACGGTGGGGAGGTGGCCAGCGGGGAGGCCAACCCGGCAAGGCAGAGGCATGTGAACCAGGAGGCAGGCACCTGTCTCTTCAGGAATTGCTTTAATAAGTAATTCCATTAATTCGCAGGTTTAAGGGCACCAATGTTTTGGTTCCTACTAGGTGAACAAAGTTTACTTGATAATAGAGCAGGGAAAGGGATTTCAACGACTCCATTCACACACTCTTCACCCGAATACTCAAAAGGGGAGGATGATCCTTACCTTGGGGCGTCTCGTAGGTCAGCGTGGCCATTTGCACCACCGGGGCGTCCTCGAAGGGCTGGTTGTACTGCGAGGGAGAAAGGGGCTTCCTGTCAGGTTCCAGGGCCATGAGGAGCCCCAGACCCAGGCGGAGGCGGCGCCAGCCCGCGAGAGGGTGTTAGTCTGGTCTGGGGCGCCCCTAACAGTCTCTACAGCGCAGCCCCCAATCCCGCCCCGCTCGTCCCTCTCAAGATCCCCCAGCCCCACCAAGCCCTTTTCTCTGCACCAGAGCCCCAGTCCCGCTTCCCCATTCCCGGCTCCGGAAGCCTTCCTCCCCCTCCCGGCTCCGAAGCCTTCGGCAGTGCCGCCTCCTTCCCTGCCAGAGCCCCCAGCTCCGCCTCCCCCTTCTCTCCGCACCCAAGCCCCAGCCCCGCTTCCCCACTCTGAGCCCCCAAAGCCCCCTCCACTTCCCGTTCTGCGTCCCCTCCTAGACTCGCTCCGCCCCGAAGGCCTCCCCGCCCGGCGGACCCGCGGGGGCCTCACCTTCTCTAACAGCCGCTGCATGCGCCTCTGGAAGCGGCGGCGACTGGCCGTGAGCTTCTGCAGCAGCGCGTCGTCTTCCATGCCCTCGTCCTCCATGGCGCACCGCGGAACCCAGCGGCCGCCCCAGCAACGACCTCAGCGCCGACCGGGACTCCAGGACCCCGAGCGCCTCAACTCAAATAGGCGACTCCGCCCTCCCTGCCTTCCTCTCGGTTTTCTATTGGCTAGCGCGGAGAAGCGGGGGCGCTGATTGGGCCTTTCAAACATATTTGCGTCTCTCCTCCCGGCCAATCCGCGGCCGAGCGTCCAGCCACGCCCCAAGGATCCCGTCGGGCGGAAAGTAGGGAGGGTGTCCGGCCGCCGCGGCAGGTGGCGGTGGCTCGCACAGCTCCGGAGCTTATTAATGAGCGGCGCCGCGCGAGATCCGGTGGGATGCGAGTTATGCGCTGTGCGCCGGAGATAAGTTCGGCCTGGAGATGTCTGCGTGACTTGCTTTGGGTGTCGCCGCCAGGCGGGGGCCCTCTTCCTCACCCGCCCGCCTGGGATCCCGGCGCGGTTCCGAGGGCAGGGGCCTACCCCAAATTACCAACCCGGAAGGAGGCAGGATGGCTAATATTCATCTAGAAGGAAAAAAAAAATAAGTCTCAACGAATGACACATTTAAAGACGCCGACAAATGCGATACACATCACAAAATCCCGGAAAATACTTTTATGAACCCACCTTTCCCCGCTGTGTATTTCTGATTGTATACTCTGCTTCTTCATTGATATTAATCTTGTAATATTTTCTCCAGAGAGAAGAGCAAGATAAATCAGCCTTTAGTATGGTTGATGGAATTTGTGACTGACATTTTGGGAAAGTTTTATTCAGCTTCATCACTTAACCACATTTGTGTGCTTGTGCTGACTTGATTACTGTAGTCTGTGATTGAAAATAATTTGGCATTACAGAGCACCAGGAGGTCCGTTAGAGGGGGCTCTTCACCTCCTTTCAGCCTGCACGGCAATTCTATCATGATGTCCTGCAGAAATTTAGGTGGGGTTGCCGGGAGGGTGAGAACTTTGGGGCTCATGGAGTGTGTGTGTGTCTACAAAATGTGTTGCGTTGTGCTGGATACAGAGATGTGCTGGCCTGATTTCTCTTAAGATGCCACAGCTGCTGGGAAGGCAGTTGGCAGGGGCCGTCAGTTGTCAGCCTCTTCTGGGATGATCCAGTTGCAGAGAGCTCTCTCACCCAAGGTCCTGCTGCCCAGGGCGGCCCAGTGCCAGTGACTGATCCAGGTGGGGACCGGAAGTTTGTGCCATTTCAGTCTGTTGGAAGAAAACCCTGGGCCACTTTATCTTCCGAGCTCTCGAGTCCTGGGAATTGGACGGGGTAACCTATCCAATGTTCCTTTCCCTCTCTTCCTCCTTTGTAAACATCCTCTTTGAGTTGGCCCCAGTTGCAGGATCTACACATTTAATTTGTAGTTTTTGCAATTTTCACAAGGAGGTTTCTTCCTCCTTCCTTGGAAGAGTTCAGAAACTTAACATGCTCTTCCTTTGACTTTGTGCTTCCGTACATTACTTACTTTTCAAACATCTAACTGGGCACGTTTAGAGACTTGAGACCTTGAGTAAGATTTCCTTTTTTCTTCTTGAGTTTTGGACTATTTACTTTCCATTATTACTGGATAGAGTTGTCCAGCTCTTACTGTGTTGAACAAAGAATCGAACAAAACACACAAAGTAAGAAAAGAATGAACCAAGGAAAAACAAAGCCATGGAAGAATAGAGTAAGGAAAGCACAGATTCATTGAGGACAGTTTGCAGAGTGGGAGCAGGCTGGAGCACGCAGCTCAAGAGGCTCTTCAGTTAGGGTTTTTATAAAGCCAAAAGAACTTGGCAACACCCCTAGGTGCCCTTTAGAGGCCTCCAATTGGTAACGCCCTATGAAGGATTGGCCTGTGACCAATCAGAGCCTAAAGCGGAAACTTGGCCCACAGCCATTCAGGGGCTGAAGTGGAAACTTCTTGTTACCACAGGAGTGAAGATATGGCCTGTGTGCTCCTCAGTCTTGCTTAAAACTGGCTGCACCTGCTATTCCTTTGCTTATGCCCCAACCCTTGGCTACCCCAATTCCCTATTCTCCTCCATCACCGTGACTCTCCAACAAGCATGATAATGCCAGTTTTCAACACTGGCTTCTTCCAGGGCTTATTCTCCATTCCTGGGAAACCATTCCAGGGTTTCCCTTGCTGACTTCACTGACAATCCAAGCATCTGCCTCTGTCCTCAGGGTTTGGGGGCAGCTTCAGTGAAAGATTTCTCAATCTCAAGTTCAAGTCTTTAACTGAAGTCCAAAACATACTTGCTTTAGCCAAACCCCTTCTGAGCCAGCCGAAGTCCATGCATTAACCCTGATTGTTCTGGCCTGCTGGTCTTCCAGTCGTCTCTGACTGGCTTTTCCCATCCCGTGGTCCAAAGTGGTGCTCCACCTAAGGAAAGAGTAACCCTGCACAATGCTTCTCATGTGATGCCCTTCTCTGCAATACCTCGCCCTGCTGCCCTTGGCAGCCTAACCATATTACTCCAGATCTGCTAAGCAAACATTCCTCACCACTTTCCACTCCCACGCAAGGGGAAGGATCACAAGTCAGCTCCTTCCCCAGCAGCAAGTTTCTGGGTGCAGCATCTTGGAGTCTTACAGGGTTTCCAGGGATAAGGGCTGTTGCTCTGGCTGTACCTGCACAGTGCCCTCTGCTGGCCGGGCTGGGATGTCCAACCCTCCAAGTGCTGTTTAAATGCCTAGGATAAATAGTTCTCATCGAAGTTATATTACCGCTGCTCTTATACAATGTGCCTGAATTTTACCTCAAATAAAAGAGAAGGAGACGTATTCTGCATGGAGTTATCATGTAAATATTTTTCTTTTGGGAAGGTGGAAATGTTATCACTAGTCTGTGGTTGGAGAAGCTCAGCTTTTGGCTGTCCCAGCATTGTCACAGGGACCGCTATGTAATGGTGAAAATGTCAGTCTGAGACAAATCATCAGTCACAAACATCAGACCCCACCCATTAGGCTGCTAAGAAAAGGGTTTGCGCGTAACCACCTTGCCATGTAAGTACCTATGCAACAACCCTGCATGATCTGCATATGTACCCCAGAACCTAAAGCACAATTAAAAAATTTTTAAAAAATACTCTTAAAAAAAAAAGAGTTTGCTGTTTTCTGTTCCCCTAGAACTGATGCAAACACAGAGGCTATGAAATAGGCGACAAGTTGACTTTGCACAAGGTGTCAGTCAAAGCTCACAAAACGTGTTCATTGATTCAATGAATCTCACCTCTAACTGAAGTAATTAAGGATGTTGGCAAGAATTAAGCTGGAGGAGCTTTCGTGAAGCAGTTTATAAAGTCCAGTACTAGAAGGATGGCAAAATAAATGGTGATAGATACTTACTTGCATTCCATTGAGAACAATTTTGAAGATCTGTAATTATTGATATCAAAATTGTATATGATCTTTTTAATACAAAAAGGTTATAAACCTGTATTATATATCTGCATTTAAAAAGTATACATCATATGTTTTTAAATTATGATTATACATGTGTTAGAAGTGTGAGTATATATGTCTCAGAATGTTTCCAGGGCCGTCTCTGGATGATAGTGTGATGAGTTATTTCTCATATTAGCTTTCCTTAGCTGCATTTTCTAGAATGAGCATGTATTATGCAATTATGAGTATGCATTACTCATGTAATTAAAAAACACGGAGGGCCAACTGTCTTAGTTCATTTTGTATTGCTGTGAGAAAACCCGAGAGTAATAAACCTGTAATTTATAATGAACTGAAATTTATTTCTCACAATTCTGAGGGCTGGCAAGTTCAAGACTGAGCGATTGGCCTCTAACAAGGGTCTGAGTGACTGGCCTCTGGTGAAGGTCTTCTTGCTGTGCCATATCATGGTGTAAGGAAGAAGAACAAGAGATGGCGAGAGAGAGCAAAAGACAGCCAAACTCATTCATTTCTTTCTTTCTTTTTTTTTTTTTTTTGAGATGGAGTCTTGCTCTGTCACCCCGGCTAGAGTGCAATGGTGTGATCTTGGCTCACTTCAACCTCCACCTCCCAGGTTCAAGCGATTCTCCTGCCTCAGCCTTCTGAGCAGCTGGGATTATAGGTGCCTGCCACACACCTGGCTAATTTTTGTAGTTTTTAGTAGAGATGGGGTTTCACATGTTGGCCAGGCTGGTCTCAAACTCCTAACTTCAAGTGATCCACCCACCTAGGCTTCCCAAGGTGCTGGGATTATAGGCGTGAGCCACTGCACCTGGTTATCAAACTCATTGTTTTATAAGAAACCCACTCCTGAGATAATTATCCCATTTCCACAATAATGGCATTAATCTATTCCCTCTGCCCTATGGCTTAATCAACTCTCATTAGGTATCACCTCTCAAGTCTGTTGCATTGGAGATTAAGTTTCCAATACATATTTCTGGGGGACACATTTAAACCACAGCACCCCTTATGTGTTTTTACCTTGGCTCTGCAAAATCAGGGACCATTTATTCAAACAAGACAATGGCCCCAAACATTCTAAAGCTGCTATTGTGCAGCAGATACAACACATAGCTGATAGCGATATATTCAGCTTTGTCTTTTCAGTTCAGATATTAAGGGTTTTCTTATCTTTCTCTGGCAAATCCAAAGTTTCTCCTGAGGTCGTTTCAAGGATTCTCACAAGCATTCTAGGGCATTCTCAGGCCAACACATGTACTCGCTGGGCCTCTTTGCCAAACTCTACTTATCCTTCATATCTGCTGCCAGGTAAGCCAGCCTCAACACTGAGTTCCTGCTAGTTTCATTGAGCTCTGATTGCTGAATTTATTTTGTTACCCTAGGATTTCTAACCAAAGTAACTAGATCTAAGTGTTTGTATAAGATCATTAGACCTTACGGTTTGCGGATAAAACATTTAGTAAACATCTTTGCTTATTCTCCTGCTGCATGCTGCTGCTGCTCTGTGTGTGTGTGTGTGTGTGTGTGTGTGTGTAGGCAGTCTTATTTCGACGGTCTTTGTTTTGTCCTAGATTATCTTGTGTTTATTGATCTGATCATATAAGGGAGGGTTCCACAAAAGACAGATGCATATATAAGTTGATTATTTTCTGCTTCAATCTAATCCAGTCTTGAAG